AATGATTTAGTAAGTGACCCGATTCATTCTTCTGAATTTCGCTGATGTATACCTGTAATATCCATAAATAGTTGACGATTTTCTCTATAAATTTTAACTGAAACATCTGCAAAAGCATACACTTTTTCAGCCATACAAGACCAGCAAAGAAAAATGTGCAAAGTATGCCATGGCATTTATTCCCAGTGCAGAAACATGTGTTTGTATAAACGTCCAGACATTTTTGAGCATGAACTATTTTGGAAATGGCCACCATTCTGTATGTAGAAATTTGTGATGACACGTTTTAAGCATAATGGACATAGTTTGAACATCTATACATGAATGCTGATGCCATTGTCCACACATACTTGTCATGAGTACAGTTTAAACCTCTTCACTCTTTGTGTAGTGGGTCCAGGCTTGCCGCTATTCTCTTCTGTTGTTCTCGGAGGCTCTAATTCAACCAGGCGGGTCAGAAGTGTTGGCACAAAGCATACCATGGTTATCCCCCATAACTGCTGGCTACTAGAGCCTTACATATCCAGGCCACACCTAACTAGTCTACACTTATTTCCAAGCAGATGAAGTGGTCAGCTCGGTGTTCTTTTTAAAACTTTTTGTATGTTTTTTCTAGTGGTAATTGCAATCCTGGGAAGAAAAATGCAGACCACTAAAACAAACGAAAAAAAGGGCTCAAAAACATGTCTAAAAGCTGTATCCCACATCTGCTTGGAGATTATTCTAAGCAAATAAAATGTGAAATACATATACCTAGAAAAACAGCCATCAACATTTTGAGATGGAACTTACAAACAAGTACATGTATACTGTACTATGGATTGTTAGATAAATATATTATTATTACAATACAAATTAAACATGCGATAGTATTCATATGAGCAGCATACAACTAACAAGTATCCAACATTTTGTAGCACTAGCATCAAATTGAACGACATACATGTACAACAGGAAGGAGCTGGTTACCATTTTCAACATTTGTGCATACTGCGAAATAGTTAAGATTTATGTCAGACACAACAAAAGACAGCAACACAGAGCGATCTAAAAAAGTCTAAATATGGGGGACAGTGGGTGAGGTTGGGGGTCCTTCAGTGTCAGTTTCAGTAATAATGCCAGCTGTCACTGGTTCTTTTGCACAAACCCTATTGTACTATGTAGGACAGTCCATCCACAAGCAGTCACTGACATTTGTTTTACTGTGACACTACTACTAGTATTCTGTCCGCTCTATATCTGTTATAATAGATTCAACAGTCTGTCATTTTGAAACAAAGTTCTAAAAATCCTATCCTAAAAAAAACTGAAAACAAGCAGGTGCAAAAAGGTAACCAAGCGTGAAAACCTGCATTTTATAATGGCCATAAATTATCTCAGTCATGTATTGGGGTAATTTCCTTCTTTATGACACAAAAGGCCCAAAATTAGGCTTGCATATATGTAAGACAATATCCTTCAAATGCATGTAGTATAAGCCCTTGACTTGAGTAATATATAGCTCTTGAACATTTTTACTGGGAACTATAGAAATCTGTGTATACATGTAAGTAAAGTATATAACAGTTCAATGTTATGGTAATAAACTTTGTAAAGGGAGGAATTGTATCAGTTTCCATGTCTGTAAACTGATCTGTATCCTTTTTTATGCTTTACTGGCTGCAGAAATTCCACCTGTGATAATGTACCTGTTTTCCTTTTATGAACATGAGTACTATACAGTGTTGTTAGCTATTTTTTTTGTACAGTGTACCTCTGCAAAGAGATGACAAGTCAGAATTTATAGCCAAAAACATCACCCATAGAAGCCTGGAAATTTGAGCAGGGTAAAACCATAGGAGGAGGAAAGACCTCCCTTCTCTTGTTTCTCTGTTTATGTTCCACATTTTCACTTCAGAGCAAAGAAGTCAAAGTACTCCTAGATCCTAAACATTGGAGTTCATTTAACGATCAAGTATACATACCACAAGTTATAGCAATGTGTTCTATACAGTCCCTGTGTAAGCCATACATAAGTAAGCAATAATAAAACATTCAATGTAATTGTTATGGGACAAATCATGGTGGGAAAATGTAGTTAATTAGTGTCTTCTCTTGTTTTAAGTTGGGTAATTTCTAACGCCCATGCATAGACATGATCAATTAACTGAGCTTTCAAAACACAATTTCCATAATAATTAATTACTTATTGAAGTTCTCAGTTGTTCTTGAATGGTAGCATAATTGATTACAGTCTATTACTAGCACACACATCCCCACCCAAAGTGAGTCCATGTATGTTGACAAACAGTACAGAAGTGTTGGGAGAGACAAAAGTGCACTGTGCATGCTGACAGACCAGGTAATATTTGGCAAATGGATGAACTCAGAGTGTCGGCATCCACCCGAGCACAGGGTCACATGGTGTTTTATTCCCGCCGCATGCCAGCATGCAAGCCAACGTCAGGCTCGGGCAAGTCCTTTTATAGCAGGCAAGCGCACACAAACAAACAAACAGACAGACAAACGCACGCTCCTTCGCCATGCCTAGGTGAAAGTCACGGCCGTACCGGCTTGGGCCAAGGTCGCCAGGGGTCATTGCGGTACACGCCCGGGCGTTGGGGCTTGCTCAGAGCTTTCATGGACCTCCCGGCCAAAACTCTGGTCCCATCACCTAAACGGGCACCCGGGTAGGGAAGATGGACAGGGCGAGTGGCAACGCCAACAGCGCAAAAATGGCTGGTATTTCCTCAACACCAACCCCCACAACCTCACACGCTATAAATACTGCAACAACAGCTCCACAATATTGATATAACTAAAACATAAACGATTTTCACCATTCATTTTCCTAACACCTTCCTATCACAATACTGTCATATAAACTGCGAAAACCACAATCATAACATGATTCATTCTTAGTCACATCTAAGTTTTAGTATACTGACAACTGTGACAATGACCCATGTTCAGGTATGACACTTCTTGAAGTTTTTCTGTTTTGACCTCAAACCTATTAATTATAAAAGTCCACAGGATATCCTGTACTCCCAGTAAAGCTGACTCAGACAGGTATGTTCATACACCCAGGGTTACTATGTCACAACACATTCTTCACACTTCCTGTTACTACAAACATTTTAACCCAGAAAAAAGACTTTGGTATAGTTGGGCTGTATCTACAAAAGAAATTCCCCACTAAATGTAGTGCTTCGCGAAGCTCACAGCGAAAACCTGTTTTTGTGCCAAGAAATACAATGTGAAAGGTGTTCAACCAAAACCCATTAGCAGTAAGGAATAAGTGACTGCCTCTAGGCTAAAATTCCATTTTCAAGGACAAAGAAGCAATCTGGCGGAATAGCATGTAGTTTTCCAACAGCAACTATATGACACTGTAACTGATTCATAAATTAAAGACAGCTCCTTCTATATAATTTCTGTGAAGTAGGAATATTGAACAAGGTCTAGCAATGATTCGACTGAATAAGCCTAGTTTAATACTACAAAGTACACATTTACATGTACTTCATTGTCATTGTCAGCCAATACTTATGGCTATAGTTATGCCTTTCCGTTTCAATAAGCCGTATAACTGGCCATTCCATTACTTTTATGACATGTACTTTGGGGCTCTTCAAACTGACACATGAGCAGTACACATGGAACTAGCAGTATGGTCATAGTGTCCAAAGCAATTGCCACCCTCTTCGTAAGCACATTAGCACTACACCAGCTAGCCATGGACATATAATAAGTGATCCATGAAGGAGGAATATACACGACCTGCTTTTAGGAAAGAGGACAGAACAAAGTTGTTAACATGCATAAAATACTGTTTGACATCCTTTCAGGTGTGAAATTTTAAGCAGTACTGTGGCAAGACTTGGTTGGTTGTGTCCTTGAAAAACATGTCATAGCTGGGAGTACGTCTCAACCTGAAATAAATTCAACTGGCGCTCAGTCATCGCAAGGACACTGGAATTTCTTTTCTACTAATCTAAATGTAAGGTAGTTGAAACATGTTGTCAGAATAGCTAACCTGTCAGGACAAATTCATTTACTGTTAATCCAATTATTTTAAGACAAAACGTTGCACAAGGACTATTGAATGTCGTGTCCATGATTACCTAAGTACTGTTCATATTGATTGAGAAATACATTTGTATCTGGAAACCGGTTCTCACGGCTTTTTTCAATTAATGGTAGCACTAGTAGACAGTTGGATCAATGTATTGGAAGATGGGCAGTTTTCCAAGTTGACTTGGGCAGTGAGTAAGGAAAAAATATCCATTTCTAACTCTGGCATGAAATGGGCAACTGCCACTGAAATGTCACGCGGAAAATTCAAATTTCAACTGTCGTGTTCTAACTCGGTATAAACCGTTTTGCAGGGGACGCCAGCACCCACGAAGGGTCAAAGTCTGCAATTTAACCCCGAGGCTCTCGGATGGTCCAGCAGTTTGTTTACCCCATCTTTGGAGTGCAATAACAATATCAGCTGACAAGATAATGGGTCAAAGGTCACTACAGCAGCTGCTCAAAGGTCTTACATTCAAATATAGCCGTGGTGTCTTATATAACGTTAAAGCAGCATATGTCCATTTTCGTTGTCAAAATTTCTTTTGATATGATTTTAAAAGGATATAATAAATAATGATATATGTACCATAAGCCTATTAACACTTAGAAGCAATCAAAAGAAAGATACCAGGATATATGTTTTAGTGATTCAAAGTACATGTACATCACTAGAAACATGAGAGGTGAACCCTATATCGTGTTCAAAATTAAACCAGCCCCTCCATAGGGAAACCTCTCCCAAATCTAAGGACAAACAGTTTAGACTCGAAATTAGAGAGATCGTCACATCATTTTGTGTAAGAATCCTTGTTACCCACAATGCACCATGGCAACTACTTCAACTCAACTGTTACTCTGTACCATCATGCATTGTGGCTACCATCAGGCATTGTGGCTAGTATTGACAATTTCAAGGTGACGCAAATAACAAGAACACCAACCTTGATGGGTTTCTTGCTGAACTTGACCTTTGGCACTCTTCCCGTGATGCTCATGTCTTCGTCATCGCTGGAGATTCCTGGCATCTCGGCCTGCGCCCAGTAATCCACGGGAAATTCATTCTCACTCTCGTCCTCACCTTCTGTGGTCACCTCGGACTCTGACATCCGCTCATTCCCTACATCCTTCTCTATTCTATCCTGGGGTGCGAACCCATCATGGAATGAGGTAGATTTTGCTTCTACAGCGGGAGAAGAGGAAGATCCTTCGAAGACGTCGCCGTCAGAGAGAAACTCGTCGCTGGCCCGCTTGCTGCGAAACGCCGTCACGTCCTCTTCCGAGCTGTGCGAGCTGTGGTGCTGGTACTCTGCGTTTTTCCGCCAGCGATTGGGGGTCATCGGGGGTTCTTCTGGCTCTAGTTGCTCGTCGCTTTGCATAGGCTCGTCCTCATCTTCATCTTGCCGCAAGGGTTCGTGGGATTGTGCTTGGAATGCTGGGTAACTTTCCTCTTCTTCTTCTTCCTCTTCATCTTGCACGGGCGCTCCTTCCTTCAGCAAGGTGTCTGCCAGGGACTCGGTGTTCGACGCGAAAAGTAGGCGCCTGGTGGCGGCTTCTTCGTAAGGCTCCGGGGAATCCTGCTCGAAGTTTGGCGCCGTCTCTCCCTCGGCTGGCTCCTCCGCGTCCACTCCGACCTCGTTTTGATCCACGGTGACCAACTCGGCGTGTAGCAAGATGTCGTCTTCCTCACCTGGCGACATCATTTCCTCTTCCCGTTCTTTCCCGTAGACAGAATCTGCAGGTGCCTTCGTACCTTGCCGGCTACCGATCCACTCTGACGCTGTCTCATTATGTAAAACACCCTCCGAATCTTTGATATCACCGTTAAGAGTCCTCCCGTACCTTGGCTTTGGTACATTTTCTTCCTGCTCTTGCCTTGGTTCTGTGGTTCTCTCCTTTGCTATGGGAGAGAAGCTGTCCTCTCTGTCCCGGGAGGTCTTCTTTGCTTTAGGTGACAGACTCTCTTCTTGATCGTGAGACACGTGCACCCTTGTTTTGGGAGTATTGTTCTGTTCCCAGTGTCTCAAACCTGTTATTTCCTCTGTATCCTCTTTGTCAAAACATCCCGACAGCCTTCGTTTCTTCGCTTCATCCTCCTTCGCTATCAAGTCTCGCAAGTCGGCTACGTTCACTTTGGGCGACACTTTCCTTGTGGGCGACATCGGTGGCGATTTTAGCTCTGACCTGTCAAAATTATCGGAATATCCTGATAACCTTCTGGATATTGGGCCTGGGCTGACGTCTGGGGTCCTATCAATGATGTGAACTGGTTTCTCTCTAGGAGGATCGTCTAAGCTGTCTAAAGAATCGGCGCTACTGCTACGTATCCTAGAGTCCCACTTGGAGGTGACCCCGTTTTCTCGCTTGTCCGATTCGGACGTTTTCCGATACCTGGACTCCCTTACAGATCTCGGGACGTTGGCGTCCCCGTCTTGCAAAATCTCGCCCGAAAACCTTTTCTCCAGCCGATCCGTGCTCGCTGAGCGAAAACGGTTCGTCGGCACCTTTCTGTCGGCCGTGGCCTTCTTTTCCAAACTCTCAAAGAGTTTCCGCGTTTCCGAAAACCTGGCTGCGTGCGACACGGTCTCATATCTATCCATCTCTCTACTCAGCCGTCTTTCTATGTTTTTCTTGGCATCCTCTCGGTTCCTGTAGGTTCGTTTTTGCGGCGGCTTACTAGACTCAACTGTGGAATTGGGTTGTGCGGCACTGTTTCCACTACTACTGCTGCTGCTGCTGTTTTTTGTTGAGGCACTTGTGTCTGCCTTGTTCCCAGCCTGCTGAGCGTTTGTGCTCGCGGCATTTAGCTTGTTTGGCTCACTGTTTTCCCTTTCCTCGATCCCTCCCCCATGTGGACTGAAAATAGACTTGAGTTTGGAAATGTTGGTCCCAACTTGATACTTGCCCTCCCCATATCTCTCTGCACTTCGTGACCGTTGTATGGCGGGTTCTCGGCTCCTCTGGGCCAGAGGCCTGTCGCTGTCCTTCTGAAAGGTGGACTTCAAGGCGTTGATGTCGACAATCGGTCGGGAACGAAGCCTGCCTGTCTCGGGATCCCTCGGCGTTCGAGTCCGTGCGGTGGCCCGCACTTCGCTGTACACTTCCTCCGCTACCTTCGACCTGTGGGACCGGAACAGATCATGTAACGTTACGTTGGTCATTGATGTACAAATCTATCGATCTTTTCTACGAGTAAATCTACGATAACAAAGCAAGTACTCTTCTCTAGGCTCGCCCTGGAAGGTGATAGCACCGTGACAAGGCAGGGTATACACATAGGATTGGGTAAGTCGTCATGCTTTGGGGAATGCCAAACAAAACTTCAGCCGAAGCGACTGAGGAAAAAACTGCGAGCAAAAATCGTCTGCAGAGACGGACGCGTACATCTTACGTGGTACAACAGGGATATGCCAGGTCAAAATAGGCCAATGATCACCAGAAGACCCCAAGGAAACGTTTGGCTGACATTTACAGCTACAGCTTGGGGCAAGATCGCGATATTTGGACGGTTTACGCGAATCAGATCACCGCAAACAACTCACATCATACTACAGCGGTGTTGGAGGTTGGCCAAAATGTGGAGCGATCAGTCGCGTCAATGGTGGATTCCGGCGACTGAGACGGGTGGTGTTGGTCCGATGGTAGGTCGTTCAGACCCCGGGCTTGCTGTTGGCGGATGGACTTGACTCGGCCCGCGAGACGAGGCTTCATTGCAGCAGGACGGGGGCAGGAAGGCGATGAGGACCCTCCACGGCTCGTGCAATGGCCGCCATTACAACTATGGGATGGTACAATCAGGACCACGTACTCCCCCATAGTAAAAGCCGATTATGAAGTTTCAGGACGATATGACGAATAAAGTTGGGCTTTTCACACAATATTTAACAATTTTGGATATCTATATGCAAATTTTATTCTTTACTATCATTTGCTTGTTGTGAAAATAAATAAGGAAGGAATTAGGAATTGAAACTTGCTTATCAGGTAGAAAATTTTGGGAGTACCGAGGCTTGGTAAGCCTGCAGGAAGCGCCGCTCCTTTGTGCGCTTCCTAAAAGCGCCCTCTTCTGAGGCCAGCAGTACTGCAGGCTAGCCGACGCTGGAAAGCTGTTGAACCTAGATAACAATTTTTACAGTCAACCTTTTCAAAATTTCACCTCTGTGATTAATTTTTGGAATGATATCCCGTAAAATAGTGAGGGTAAGGTCTCAAATTGACAGGTTTTGAACCCTAGAGGAACTTCTCAGGGCGCAAAGATGTTGGCTTTGTGGTGCCATATTACCTAGCACCATAAATATGACAGGGCAGAAAGGGGCAAGCAGGTGCAACGCTGGCGTGGAGAAACGTGGATATGCAATACTTTAACATGTCGCTTGGAGGAAAATGTTGCGACTGTGACGTTCAGATATCATATTACGCCTAATACAAGTGTTAGCGTAATTGTGCCCATGGCTTTGTGCCAGCGGAGGCGATAGAGTTCAACGGTAGAATGGTGGGGGCGTGACTTCAGAAAATCATGTGTCGACTTCGTGGCGAACGTACGTTTCTTTTAATGGTAATTGTCACGCAAGAAAAGACCCTGCTTTAATACAGGAGGAGTGACACTCCGACTGTCATGAGATAAATGATACCGGTACTACCAGAGGACCAAAGAGGGCAGGAGGAACATGGAAAGGCTGGACATTTTTGAAGATGTGAAAAATAAAAATCCTAATTTTGCACATTTGCGAATGGGAACTTGCTTCCTAATAGCGCCGTCGATCCAAGACCATAGCACTAACAGTACTGCAGATTGTCTGAAGTTGCATAGATGCTGAACCTGAACAAAAAACTTACGATGGCGTTGTCTCTTATTACCTTCGCCAAGAAGGTTATGTTTTCAGTAGCGTTTGTTTGTCTGTTTGTCTGTCTGTCTGTTTGTGAACAGCATAACTCAAGAAGCTTAATATGTATTGTCATGAAACTTGGTAGGTGGGTAGGTCTTGATGAGACCTAGAAATGATTAGATTCTGGGCCCCCTGGCGGCTTTTGTTGGTACTGCAGCAGAACTTCCGGTTTTGATATCTCGCGATCTGGACATGCTAGGGTGACGAATTTTGGTTGGTAGATAGCTCTTGAGGTGGGGAAGAAGTGACATGAGTTTGGGCCCCCTAGCAGCTTGTTCTGGAACTGCAGGAGCGTTTCTTGAAAAATCTCCGAAGGTTGATAACTCAAGAACCGGTTGACGGATTGTCATGATTTTTGGTATGTAGGTAGCTGAAGTGATACTTGACATAATCAGATGACAATTATGCAAATCAGGAGTTAATTTGCATAATTAATGAGGACATTCTATAAATCTGCTTCGTTCGATTATAGGACTTTGAAACACTTGTGACATGTAATTGAGAACTAGAAAAACATCTGAGGATATAG